TGTGTGTACAGGTAGAGGCCTTGCGACGAGCTGATCACCCGCCAAAGGAGTCCTACCGAATGTGTAAGATCTAGAAAAACCGAAGTGAACGGAGAAGTTCATGGATGTAGGCCCAGGTTCACTGGGGCTGTTGTGCCATGGAAAAAAAAAAAGCTATCGCTGTAACAGGCCATGGAGGCCCATAGGGTTGTGAGACATCCATGATGCCACATTTTCTAGACAATCGGCTCACAGATGGTGGTGAGGTTGTCACCCTTATGCGCCACCTTCCTTATACCCCAGGAAGATGCCTGGTACTCATTTATGTTAGAGGCTGAGTCGCTCCCAGGGCCATAGTGCGGCTGGAAGGATTAGATAAATTGAAAATATCCAGTGATCTCATCGGGCATCGAACCCGCCACCTTCCAGCTTTTACCATAGCGCCTCAGCCAACTACGCTAGGGACAAATTGCATCGTTTAAATGACTTAAAGGACTGCATCTGTGGTCTATTGGTCAGAGATCCTGGCTACAGATCCAGAGGTCCTGGTTCGATTCCCGGCGCTATCAGATTCTCTGGGAAGTAGTGGGTCTGAAACGAGGTCCACTCAGCCTCGTAAGGATAATTGAAGAGGTACTTAAATAGAAAAATAGCGGCTCCGGTCTAGAAAACCGAAATTAACGGCCGTGGGGATTCGTTGCGCTCACCACGCGACACCATCTATCCGCTGAAGTTGGCACTAACTTTGCCAACAAGCAACGGCCGCTCGGTCTGTTGGTTCGCTTGTGGACTAAATCCACGGAGTTTTTTTATAAATATCTTAAAGCAGACCACAACCATTTTCAAATCTTTCTGAAATTACTGTGGAATATCCCGGTATTTCTTATTATACCCTACGTAGTCTAAATATAGATACAGCGTCATGAAACTAAGAAACAATCAGAATTAATGACTTCATGTGACGGGGGAATGAAACCTTTGCATAACGAGGATCTTTACGCTATCGACCCAATTTTCAAGGCGGTGAACCAAAGACAAGAATAGAAGGGAAATGACTAGTTTAGAGTAGATTTGTGCCAACGTTAGAATTGATCTTAGAAAGACAAAATGGTGAATATGTGATCCTGGTAGAGTTGGTTCAAAATATACTCAAGAGGCGGTTTTTGTTAACACGGCAATGAACCTTTTTATTCCATAGAACAATTAATGTATTGACCAGTTATTAATATAAATCGCTGACGGAAGGCCCTGAGCTTTTATATTTCGTTGGTTAGTTAGATGTACACACAGACAAACCTGCCAATGCAAAAGCAATCTAAAGGACAGTGTAACGTAAACATGGTGACGCTCCTGTTTGCAACGCATCCCTCGCGCCTACACCAGCTTTCTGCTGGAGAACGGCCCGCAACTCGCGTTTCTGGGGTTAGTCTCTTCCTCTCTCTGTCTCACCCTTTCACCCTCTGAAGCGGGGGGGGGGGACGCGGACACGTTGTTCACTTCTTGTTGTGATCCTTACTAAGTGATTTTACCGCACGATAAACACAATAATTATTGCCAAAATTGTGGTAGGATTTTGATGTTATCTGATGACGCGATTCAAATTGCAAAGATATAAAAATAAATATTAAGAATGCAGTGGCATGTAAGAATATATTATTCCACCATTTTCCTGAAGAAACTTAGGAAAAGCACCAATATTCGTGGTCAGTACAGCCGCTAAACCTTCCACAATTGGAACCTCTAAAAAACAAATGTGAAATTACGCTTTATATTAGAATCGGTAATAATTACATAAAGTTAAAAAATATGAATATGAAAAAAAGAGGTAAAATTGCCCTCTGTGCTTGACTAATTAAGCTCTGCGTCATGAAGGCGTGTGGGGGGAGTGTTTGTATAGATCCACGTTTTCTTGATCTCGGCACTAGATGGAGGTGAGCGGTCAGGTTCACGCCCCGGCCGCTTTACCCCCTTGTAAAGAGGCCGCAGTACATATTGGATAGGAGACTGGATGGACCCAAGAGCCGGCCTGAAAAAGGCGTAGAAGAGAGAAAATTCTTGACTCTGTCGGGAATCGAACACCGACCCCTCGGTCGTCCAGCCCGTAGCCAGTTTTATATCGACTGCGCTATCCCGGCTCCTGCGAGTTTTGTTAGGAAATTAACAGTGCTAAGGACTTAAACACGCATTCAGGAAACTTCCATGAGTAGAATGACTTATCAGAACTGAATATTTTCATCAATTCCTTCATTTTGCTTAGGTATGTAGGATTTGAGGTACTCACAGCGGAGGCTATGAAGGATTTGATCTTTTGGAATGTAACGCGTTTAAGTTCCCAGGAAGGACTTCCAAAGGACCGCACGGCGCACTTGGGGTACTTCAAAGCAAAACACCTTTTACTGCATTCAAGTCGATTTTTTAGAACCTCTCAAAATTCATTGGGAAGCACGTGGTCGCGGGTTCGAGTCCTTATGAGGTGGATTTTTTTCAATTTATTAATTTTTTCAGCCGTACTATGGCCATGGGTTCGACTCAGTCTCTAACAGGAAGGAGTACCAGGAATCTTCCTGGATGGTAAAAGGCGGCCGGCGCGTAAGGCTGACAACCTTACCGCCATCTGTGAGCCGATTGTCTAGAAGATGTGGGAGCCTCAATCATCTCTCAACCCAATCGGCCTTCACGGCCTGTTACAGGGATTGCTTTACCTTTACCTAAATTCTTTGTAGGCCCTATTATAAGAGACAAAAAGGATTCATTGTCAAGATTCAATTCAAGATTTCAATTAATTTCTCTCTCGATTTTGTTGTGTAATTTAAGACTAGTGACTACAATTATCATAAAACCAATGACAATAATGATACAAGTGTGTGTGTTAAAACCCAGGATTTTAAATCTAGAAAAGAGAGTTTTGAAATTTTAAGAAGTGAATATTCCTGCGGAACTCATGATGTTATTAAACCTGTGAATCATGTAATTTCATTACAAAAGTTGTAATCCCACCGCATTCAAATTTCAAATATAATACCGTAACTATAACATGATGATGATGATGATGATGATGATGATGACATAACTGTTTGGAAAGCGGCCACTTGAGAGGCGAGAGGATAATGCTGAGTTGAATCTGATGGAGGTGGGCGTAACTGGGTCAGAATCCCATCCAACAGAAGATTGTGATGTTGAACCTTCTGCTTCTGCTATAAGATACGAGTAGTTACGCATACTCTACTTATGGGAAAGATATAGTTCTAACATTCTATTGAAGTTAATTACATAATCCAAACAGGTCTGACAACTTAATTTGCATAATTCAAACACATACGTACGTACGTACATATATACAGGGCCTATATACATGCATCTATGCGTGCGTACACATATACATACGCGCAAGACCTTAGCGTTTTCAGTTGGTTTCTGTGCTGCTGGCTTATGAATGAAATGGGTGCTCACATGTGGGCTGCTCCACCTTAGTCTTGCTTCCTTTTTCTTGGGCGCCCTCTGGTCATCGTCGTCGTGGCCACGGGTCGGCGTCCCCCTAACCCCAGATGCCGTTCTCCTCTGCTCCCCCTTCTGGGCATTGGTCTTTTCCCTTCACACGACATTCCCCTCTTCTTTTCGTCCCCCCACTTTCACCCTTACCGCGACTACATCTCGGCAGCCAAAGGGGGGGAGGGGGTTAAAAAATATTCCCTACTATAGATGAAGGCAAGGCAAGTGAGGGTTTTTTATCCCTCTAGGGAAGGAAGGTAGAGGGGTGGCATAAGGAGGGGTGTTGGAGGGATGAGAGAAGGAGGGGAGTTAGAGCGTGGAAGGGTGCAAGCGTCGTGGAGAAAACGACGCCGCCGTAGCAGCGAAGTCTTGCCGACGCATCGCGAACGTCTGCGCACAAGCAAGTGCAAGTAAGGAAAATATATCTAGGAAGGGAAAGGGGCAGGATAAAAGAGAAAAGATTTGAGAATAGGGGTTGCACCGCGCACCGTCTAAGAGAGAGAAAGAGGAAAACATTTTCTCTCTCTCGAGGACTCGCAGTGCCTTTTCCTTCTACCCTTCTCTTCCTTCTGCTACGTCAGGAGGAAGAGGAGAGAAAAGGAATGAGAACGCGAGTTTCCTTTTGCTTCGTCAGTTTGTGTGACGCTCGCGGAGACGTCGGGCGTCGTTTTCTAGAGGGGGGGCGTCGTCGTCGCGTCGTCCTCGTTTCTCTAGACGTTCGTCGTCACCGTCGCCGCCGTCGTCTCGGTCTTCTGATTTAGGAAGTATTATTCCTAAACATTCCTCGCTGGTAGAAGGAGCTCGCTGCCTGCGTCTTCGGTCCCGGTGTGGACGCCGCCGCGGTTCTTCGTTATAAGTTGCTTGTTGACTTGGGACGTCACATCAGTCTGACTGTCGAGCCCTCTGCGGAAAGACCTCCCACTTATAAAATAGTGCTTGGTGGATTTCGTGACTTCCACCATTAAGAGGTATGATTGGACTTACCCCTTCTTCAACACTTAGAAAAGTTCTGGGTGTCCACGCATTTTACTGTGTTTCCTACAGCGAGTGTCATGTTGTGATACAATTTCATATCGTGTTTAAGAAGTTTTGAACTTTGTTTTGAAATTCAATCTTGTTCATTGAACTCTGTTTTAAAACTGAATGAGTTTCTTTTGACTTTGTTTAGAGAATTTAACAAGACTCATTCAAGTTTGTTTTCAAACTGAATTAGGTTCATTGAACTTCGTTTTTATACTGAATAAGTTTCAGTAAAGTTTGTTTTGAAATTGAATAATTTCATTGAACTTTGTGTTAGGATTGAATAAAGCTTATTAACTGACATTAGGATTCTTATTGACAGTTTTTCAATTTTCTTTTTCTTAGCAAGTTTGCAATAGTGTTACATTTCATACAGCTTTCTAATACGGTCAACATTTCGCTATAACAGGAGTTTTACAGTTTTCATAGTATGCTGAAATGACGTAATTATAAACTTGTGAACGTTTGCTTTCAGTGTTTCTATGGTAACCCTACTCATTTTGTGCTTACAGGTGTCACAACAATTACCACACAACAATATCTGCAAGACACCGGATCGTGTGACCGAGAATTCCTTCTCTGGAGTTGATGTATTGAAGGGGTATCCGCTGCTGTTGGTACTGTGGTTCTCTGGAACGCCGCTAGAGGGACGACAGCCAATAGCAAACAGCTGCCTAACCGCTCACCGCTTAAAGAAAGAATTAAAAGAAGAAGAAGACAAGGGGAAAAAAGAAGAGCGATTTTTTATATCCTACACAGACCAGTTGTCCCGTGGCGGCTGTTTTTGCTTTTGTTTTTCTAATAAAAAATTCATTTAAGGGAAACCATTACAACGTATTAGAACTTTACCTTATACAAGAGGCTACATAGATAACTGAGCAATCTAATTTATGCATTGAGAATGAGAAGAACTTGAACGGTGTAAACGTATAGGAATTACTGTGGCTATAATCAAAGAAATCAACTAACATCCTCCATGTGCATGAAGTGCAGTGAATGTTTGCAAAAGGTGAATGAGTAGAGCAGAGAATATTAGAAGAAAAAACAACTCTAACCAAGAAGTTTTTACCTCGACTCAAGACATCAAGATAAACATCGGGCGATATAACTTGTAAATGATCTTGAAGAAAAAAAAGATTAGCAGGACAAGAACATTGGTAACACACAGAATAAAGACATAACAACCAGTCACGATAAGTACAGGAATAAACACAGAATATAACAGGAAGAGATACAGGAGACAGAAGACTTCGGATCTTTTGCCAACAATACCTCGCGAAGTTTTCCAATTGTTACACGATATTTCAACTGACCAGTAACTTTCCCAATTCTTAACCACAATCCTACCGAATAACAGTCCTACTGCACCAATCCAGAGTTGACTGTCAAGAGACCAACCTCTGCTTTCCAAACTACTGCTGGAAAGCAGAACCAACGATCACTATAAATCCCAAATACGACGATATTACCTTCAACCAGCGTATACAAGATCGGTCTGTCGTGGATTTTCTACAGAACAACTCCATCCTCAGCGGCGGAACCAGTAACTCCAGCACCCGCGCTTCCACCTTCAACAATTACTTCTCTGATTCGACACGGTTTTTTGACCACACACGCGTCAACATTACGGACATAACGACGACATACACGACGCCTTTAGACCTCCGAGCGACGCCGATACCCGACGCCTCCTCCATGTCGGCAGACGTGCAGCAGCAGTCGGCGCGGTCCGTCTTCAAGATGAACCCCGACTTCTGGCAGCAGGCGAGGGGACCGCCGTCAATGCCCCCGGGGCCCAACCTGGGGCAGCCGCCCACCGGGGGTGGAGGTGGAGGCGGTGGGGGCGGAACACCGGCCACAGCTACCGGGGTACCAACACCGCCAGGCGTCGGAGGTGGTCTCAACAACACACCAAATAATACAGGTGTCAACAGCAATCAGGGTGGCGGTGGAAATGGGGGTGCAGGAGGCGGTTCAACAACTCCAGACTCCAAGATGATGACAGAGAAGCTAGTCAACGAATTACAGGTAAGTGGGTCGGCAAGAATGCCCTCCTCACGCCTGGAGTATTGTAGCATTCCGTCTACACGAAGGTATATTCGACTTTGTGCATGTAGACTGTAGGCCTTCACACGTGTGTCTTCGGTTTATTTACTTACCATGTCACACATATTTCCATTAATATTTGCGCTCGAATTAAAGACAAGTTACAACAGTTGCCCTAACAACGACCTTGCAACTATCTCGCTATTTTGTGTTGCACTGCACCACGATGTTTCTTCTCAAACGAAATTGGAAACATCCTCAGTGTAAATTTGTGTAACACAGAGGATATATATATATATATGGTATGACCGTAATCCAAACGCTGCTTAGGTTTATTGCAGTTTTGCTAATGTTATGTGCTGTTAAACATCAACTGGATTACACATAACTACAAGGCGGCCTCCTTTCAATAACGTTGATCATCCTTGCTATTTATTCTACATATTGATAGTATCGTAAAATAAACAAAGACAAAAAACTATTAACTAGTTTATATGGTTTAGTTTAGTTTGTCCTCACGTTTATTTTCGTCTATTATTATCATAGTTTCAGCTATTCTGTATTTTATATCATTAGTTTTATAGGAGATCGTTACCGAAGGCTGTGGTTCTGAAATATGTTCGACACATGGAACACATAATCGTTAACATAATTTAGATATCACCCTCCGCCCATTCATTCACGTCTTTTATATATATATATAAAATAAGTAATTAGTAAGCGAATTTAGTTGTTCAATATAAAATTAACATTTGTATCTTTTAATGCAATTAACTATGTTAATTTAGTTGGCAAACAAAAAACGTAAGTTGATATCCTGAATGATTCTTGTATAGGCCTATTTGGTTTTATTATGTAAACGTAACATCTTGTCGTTTACTTTCTTATCGACAATACTGACTAATTCTTATCGTATTGTATATAATGTATATTTTGTTTATGATATATTAGCCTGTGTAATGAGAACAGCATTCTAAAATTTGACGATATCAGAAATACTGGACATATTTCTTATCATAATTTATAAAAATTACTATTAAATCCTGCTTTTCCATTGGTAATAAATTGTGTGCCTTGTTATTTATTACAAAAATAACAGCGCTTTGTAGGTCTAGTTTATCTGTTGGGAAATAAATTTGTTACGACTTTAAAAGACTCGCGGCGGGCAGTGAACCAGTGTATTCCGATGGTCTGGAGCGGGGCGCGCGGTATTTGTTGCGAGATTACCGGCGAGTGAGGCTCCATCTCCCGGCACAACCATATACAAGCTGTCGGACCTCGTTACACTAATCCCCCTTCATAACATTGCCGTCGACTGAAGCTAGAATTCAATAAAGATACAGTCATAACACGTTCTACTACTCTCCTAAAATCGAAAGTGTCGGCTGACATTTAGATATCACGTATTTTGTTGATTGCGAAAAGGGAACTTTCTTTGAACACATTTTTATTTCGGCTGTCGAAATAAATTTGTGCACTATATCGGCCTACACTTCATGCTAACATTTCGTTTCACTGTTCCCGTTACTTTCAAATAATTTTTTATAAATTTCGGCAATATATTTACGTATTTTGTACGTTATAAACTTTGCAGAAAATTAAATGCAATAATTTAAATACTTTTGAATATACATTTTTAGAATATGTTCAGGATAGAATAAGTTGCGCGTTGTTAACTGTACATTACGAACAAGATATCTTGCGCTTAAAACGGTTCTGTCTTCCCGTTATTTTCTGTGTGTGATTACATCGACTAAAGAGACGTATGAAAATTTTAGGCTATTAATTTCTGTGATTTCATTCGTATAAATTTAAGATATATTGGAAATATCTATACATATATCAAAGAAATTTTTAAATATTTACTTTCCTAAAGTAGAGCCATGTAAAAGTTTTAAATTAGCCTTCTGAAAGCGCGATGTTTCTCTTCTTGACTTTGATGTTTGTAATTTTACAGTCACATTAAACACGCACGCGGTAGCGTAGTTGGTTGGGGCACCATGCTACAAGCCTGAAGGTCGCGAGTTCGAGTCCCAAAGAGGCGGATTTTTTCAATTGACTTAATCCTTCCAGCAGCATTGTGGCCCTGGGGTCTACTCAGCCTCTATCAGAAATGAGTATCAGGAACCTTCCTGAGGGGTACAAGGTGGCCGGCGCGTATGGCTGACAACCTCACCGTCATCTATGAGCCGATTGTCTAGAAAATGTGGGAGCCTCAGCATCTCACAGTCCTATGGGCCTCCACGTTCTGTTGCAGGGACAGCTTTCAGCTTTACCTTTAACGGAAAATTAAAACATTTTTTATAGTTCCGAGTAGATACCTTTTCGGAGTTATATGGTTCTCTGTTCTAAATACAGCACTTCTATAAGCACGACTCCTTAGAACTTTATAAAATTGTTCACACTACAGTGCTCTGGGATGTGATGCCGTGTAAGTTAGTAGATAGACTATCTGTCAGCACTAAAGTTAGAGGCATATGTTTCCTCCGAAACGTCGGTACTTATTTACCAACTACACCGGAAGACGGCATCCATATCATTCATTTCCGTGGGAACTTCAAATATCGCATTTTTGAGTTACGTTTTAGCTTTTAAGTTTCAGAAATTTTCCATGGACTTGGCTAAATGGCGAAGAATCATCATGTCTACCGCTCATCTCAGAAGTTCTTTCTTTTTCCCCAGTAACCGCACGTGTTTAGTGCAGGAAACGTTTCTTAAATTGACTACTTTTAATTTTTTTTAGCGATTCTGTGAATACATATTCTATTTGCAACCAAATTTTAAAAATCGATTATATTTCTCATACTGAAATTTCTTTCTGGTCACTCCTCCCCTTCCAGGGTGTTTCTCCTCCTGCATTACTACCTTGCCTTCCCCTCCGTTTCCCATCCCACCCCTTGCGAATTCTCTGTCTTTCTCTCTTCTGCTACATCAACTTGGTTGTTACATAACTATCCCCACTCTTGAACCCATCACCGACCCTCCAAAACTTCCCCCTCCCTCCACCAGTGCGATTCCTTACATCCACCCCTCGGTACTACTTGCCACCTTCTTACCCCTCCACAGTCCCCCTCCCTCCGATGCCAATGATCCAGAAGCCTACAAATTTTTTGTCCCTAGAATTTTTGGTCAACAAGGGAAGCAAGGTATGAGGGCATTTCGTTTTGCTTGTTTTGTTATTTCTGCTATTAATAATTATCTTAAAGATCCTTCCCTCCCCCCTTCCGCCCCACACCGAAATCCGCATTATGCTGAAGCATATGATCTGCAATAGCGGACAAAAATTACCGGGAAAGATATTTCGTAGTAACAGGCTTACTGTACTCGATATGCTGTGTTACTCCTTTGCATAAATGTATCATCCATCGCTTTATGATCTAGTCGTTTGTAGTCTTCTACCTTACCTTGCCGAAAAACGTATCTTCACTAGAAGCGATCGCTACAGTACCTGATCATTAATTTTCCATTACTATTATTATTATTATTATTTAGTGAGCAATAAATAAATTAATAACTTAATTAAAATATTTAATATTTTCTAAATGATACAAGTTACCTTATATATGGATAAATACCGTCTTAAGTGCAACAAATTTTATTGTAGTTTTTATTGTAGTAAAAACTACAATAAAATTTGTTGCACTTAAGACGGTATTTATCCATATATATTGTGTGAGTGTAACAGGATGCTGAAATATAATATTGTAAACAAGTTACCTTGTTTTGCCATCTGTTTATGTGTACTTTTTGTTTTCCTTTTGCTCATGCTTAATTTATAATTGTCCTTCGAGCTGTTAAGAAAGCACGTAAACGATTAAATTATTATTATTGTTGGTGGTAGTAGTAGTAGTAGTAGTAGTAGTAGTAGTAGTAGTAGTGGTAGTAGTAGCAGCATTACGTGACTCGTACTTTCGTTAGTATGAAAGTAATGTAGAACCCACGGCTCAGAAATGGTGATTAGGACATTTGTTATAAAATATATTTGGGTAACAACTTCATATGCTTCTGTAACAAGGCTGCTTTAAATTCTTATCACTCACCTCACACTTAAGACTTGTCGCTCGCACTACCTTGACTATAAGGTAAATTTGTCCCTATGCTTAACTAATTAAGTACTACGCCATGAAGGTGTATGGGGGAGTTGATATATAGATCCACATTTTCTCGACCTCGGCACTAGCTGGAGGTGAATGGTAAGCTCCACACTCCGGCCGCTTTACCCTCGGGGAAAATCCCCCAGTACCCGTTGGATAGAAGGTTGGGTGGACCCCAGAGCCGGTCTGGATGACGTGGAGAAAAGAAA